GGCGGCCGCCGCCTCCTCCGTCTCCTCGTCAGCCGCCCTGGGGACTTTGCACCAAGGGACTGCCCTGTCCAGTGTCGAGAACTTTACTGCTAGGATTTCAAATTGTTAATAACGCAATGTTAGCGCGCTTGAGAAAGAGAAGGTAGGAATCTCGGCTCCTTTTGCATCTTGGTGGTTTGGTGGTTTGCTGTCTGGGCGCGGCCCCTCCTGACCTCGCGCGCCCATTTTCGCCGCTTCGGATTCTCGGACGAAACTGTTGGGCAACAGCTCGGGCGCGCCTTTCGGCTCTGCGGGTCCCTCTATTTATGCAAAGTCGTCCTATGATGCAGCCCCCAACTCGGGTGCGGGTAGGGGGTCCGCCCTGTAGAGGCACTAGGGACTTCTCTGACTTTGGCAAATTACAAACAACAAACACCTAAGCCTTTTTTGAGGTGTAGAGGTTCTCAGGTCTGGTGCAGGCGTTAAAAAATAGCGTTCAAAATAAGAATAATACAGAAATAGCAAAGGTCTCGAAGAATGCCAGCGAAGCAATACTTTTTTATTTGAGGACACTTGTCTGGTGTACTTTTTCATGAAAAGGAAAAAATGATTAACATGTTTACACAAGAAAGAAGTCAAAATTATCATTTCTTATTTTAACCTGTGTTTTGTATCATAATAGACGTGCGGAATTTTTATTTTGTACTTACTGCGTATTCTTTACAAGGAGAATTGTAAATTTTACTGGCAATTATTATTGTACTATTCTAATGTAAGATTTTTACACTTTTTCAGAAATAAAATGCTTAATTTTCAAAGAAAAGTCAGTACAATAATTGGCTTCAGTTGTCCCCTTAATTTGTTTTCTGTTAAAAAAAGGTTTCTATGTGGGATAAGTAGGAACCCAACAGAGAGTACACCTTAATATTCTTTTCAAAGAGAATTTAACAGAAACATCATGACATGATTTTTCATTTTTAAATTTTGACTTCCAACGTCAAAACCATTGTAGAAGGTCAGTAATTATTTTTAAATGTCTCCAAATAAAATGATTTACTTTGGTATACATTTTTCAAATCTGATTCTGTTCCATTTTTAAGAGTTTAGACATTTTGAAATGAAAGCCACAGTCACGCTAAGATAATTTTATAGACACTTTTAGTTTTATTTTTGAGCTCCCCACTTTAATTTCCATTCATTGTTTATCACAGTATTCTATTTGCAAAAACTCTACGACATAATTTTATATTGTAATGTAAGCAAAACAAGCAAAGATAGTTTCCAGCTTTAAACTTTAATAGAAAAAATTAATAGAAATGATCATTAGTTAAATCGCTTTAAAGTTTTTAAGAAAATATTTGCATATACTGTATAAAATAACTCATAAGTATTTGAAAGTTCTAGTACTTAAAGCTACTATTTTTGACTTAGAGGGGATTCCAGTAATTGCATAAAGAGGGCTTCTTATTTTAAATGGGAAACATTGAAATTCCAGCTTAAATGAGTAACTTAGGATATTTAAGAGAAACCTTCAACTTTATGATAAGTATATGCTTTAAAGAAAAAAGTGAAAGTATATGAAGTGTTAAATTAATTGTATTTATACAATTTTAATGACTTAGATACTACTTTTCAAATTTATCTTTTCATTAACTGCTTATTGTGCACAATTTCTTCTTTGAAAAAGTATGCGACACTAGTTTGATGACTGTAGATATTATTGGGGCTCTAAAAAATCAAGACATATCAAGACATATATATATACATCATATATATAATCACGTATAATTTAAATGCCTGACATCAGTGGATATTTCAGTTTCTTTAAAATATAATTTAAATGCTTAAAATCAATGGAGATTTCCATTTCTTCAGATAGGTATATATCTGGAGATCTGCAGATTTAATTTACCAAGTTAAAGAAGTTCACCTTATACGTCAATATTTTGCAGTGATATTTACTCTTGATGCCTTGTCCCTTTTTAGGGAGGAAAAAACTTTCTCATAGGCTCAAAATGAAGTTCTGTTTTTTCCTATGAAATGCTTGGAAGAGGTTACACACACTCAACCCTCAAACTTACCGCTAAACATATAGATACCTCTTGAAATCCTGTTAAGACTAAACTCTTGTGTACAAACGTTACTTTTACCCTAGCCTGGCCTAAGAGGAGACATTGAACCTGAGGAGGTCCTGATTCCACGCACCGCCCCGGGTGGAGAGGTAGTAGCAGGCGGGACCCAAAGGGCACCGACCCTGCTGTCGCGCCTTCTGTAACGACGCACAGACTGAAATATGGGTCTGAAAGTAATTAGGATAGGAAGAGAGAGCCAAGAACAAAAACAATGTGTATTTTAAATTTTTAAAGATTTTTGCACGATGGGTAGATGTCCTGAAAAGGGAATCCCACTAATCTCTCGTTCAGATTCTCCTAAATATAAAAGAGTGTAGGACAGACTCCTACTTCCCGGGGTGTCAGTGCATTGAAGAGAACTGCAGGAAGACACTGGGCAACCCAGCGCTGGCCTCGCTGAGTCCCGGGGTTGGGGTGCCGCTTCACTCGCTCCCACTGGAAACCACGCGCCTCTGTGTACAACGGATGGAGTGCAGAGTGAGACCCTGAGCCATAAGAACATCCGAACGATACCCGCCTCAGTTTGGGCTCATGTCCTGCCGTTCGGTTCCCCACCCTCCGGGTTTGGGGTTCCACTGTTGGCCTTGCTGACCCCGCAGGCCTGCTCAGGGGCGGATGAGACCGGGAAGGCAGGGCCGCACGCGGGGCGGGTGAGACGTGAGCTGTGGAAGGTGTAGGCCGGTGGGCGAGGGCCACGGGGCAGGGGAGGTGTGACGTGGGGATCGCAGGTCGTGGACAGGCGAGCCAGGAGCGCGGGGCGCACCCCGTCAGGCCGCGCAGGCGAGCAGGTGCTGGAACAAAGGCCTCCGCGGCCCGGGCTACAGTGGCCTTTGATGCGCAAGGACGTCTCCTCCTGGGGCTCCTCATTCGCATGCAAATCCAGCCCTGGTCCCCTTTTCTTTGTAGGCAAACAGAAGGATGTTTGTGTGTTTGTAGGAACGAAGCCTGCTTGAACAAGCCTTCCTCAATAGGCTGGGTCTCGAAAAATAAACCAGTTGGACAAACATTGGTCACCAGCGCTCCTCCTCCCAACTACAAAGTGTGGATTTGCTACAACTCATTAACCCGACGCTTTTCTCCCCTTCTCCTTGTTTCTCTGCTCATCAAACGCCCCCGTAGAGCCGCGAGACAAATGACCGAAGCTCAGTCGAAAGGGAATTGCAGTTAATAGGGAGAGGGATGTATTGGGGCTAATGGTTCAGGCAGCTCCTGGACAAGGACCACACAAAAAGGAGCCTCTCCATTCAGGGCTCCGTTGTGTTGCGGAGACTTAATCTGCAGCTAGATTTAGCCAAATGTTATCTATTGCGGGGGTAATGAAGCCCTTATGGATTGAATTGCTCCTTGTACCGCTCATGGTGTCACGACCTTAGATCTTTCCTTGGTCGATTTCTTTTTTCTCTATTGGATAATTATTTTATTTCTTTAAAATAAGAAGCCAGCGCTTCTGCTCAACAGGGTGTTTGCTCTCCACCCCGTCCCATGCATTTACTTAAGGGCCACTTCCCTTCCTCTTAAAAAAAGAAAAAGAGAAACTATGGAAATGGAGGAAAAAATTGCAGTCTTTTCTCACTTTTTTACTCACTGAAGCATTTGTATGTTGTTCACTATCTCTACTTCTCTGGCCCCTACTCCGTGGAACTTTCCTGCCCAAACTTTCTGGTGACAGAACTGGAATTCTGGATATATTTGTTATCAGAATTTTCACAGTGAGTGTACTAAGCAATCATGTCAGGAAAAGGCTTCTCTTCCCATCATAGTTTTTTCTTCTTTATAAACCCCCCATTTCTTCCTGTAGCTTGTCCTCTGAGAGATCTGGGGGAGCTGGTTATTCTGATGGAAGGTGATTATTTTGATGGAATAGCAGCCTGTGTCATTTATTAAAGGCTGTCTGAGGCCAGTGGTTGAGGGAGAGGCTATGCCTGTTTTTTTCCCCTCTCTCTGGCCCCAGTGGCTCTGATTTCCTTGATTGACCGAGGACCAAGCTTGAAGCCACTAACAGTGTTATTACAACTGCTATTGATGGGTAGGGATCTGATCTTACTACCCAAAGCCAGGAATTGAGGACACTAGTTATAATTTTAAAATTCTGTGCTGGCTACACATTCTGCTCACACCTATTTTTATTACTGACTGAGAAAAGTCATTTGGGGGGCAATTTAAAGGTCATATCAGTATCAAATTCAATC